GCGACTATGGTGGATAACATCATTTTGACAGAATCTCAACACGGTTAATTTCATTATTATGGATTAGCGATAAATTTAGTGCACTGAGGAAAAAATATTTAGATCAAAAAAATTATTTATTTAGATTGTGGCCAAGAGCTTATTTAAATATTTAATTTGAAATAAATACGTGTATTATATTAAGTAAATAAGCTCTTGGCCACAATCTAAATAAATAATTTTTTTGGCCACAATTTAAATGAATATTTTTTTGCATCTAAATGTTTATTTTCTCAGTATGGAAAGTCATTGGAGTGGCATACTTTAAACTGATATCAGTAAATAGTCACTGACGCATCAGTCACTGGAGTGGACATACTTTAGACTGACTGATGCGTCAATGTTTACGGATACCGACTATTTACGGATATCAGTCTAAAGTATGCCACTCCAGTGACTTTCCACTGTTTCAGATTTAGATAGTATGTTCGTATTATGTAATAACCAAAGTGTGATAGCGATTTATTTTTAGACTACATCACAACATGTTATTTAAGCCAACCAAATGGTGCAGTTGCCATTAAAATATTTGTAGTTGAAGTATCAAGAAATAGTTTGGTTGGAGCAACCAGATATCGTCACTGCTGCAATATAGTCACTCAACAATTGCTCTGTGGTTGCAGCAAACAGATAATTAGTTATTCTATACTTTTATAATACTAAATTTGGTTGGCACAATCAGATTTATGTGTGAGCCAACCATACCGTTTTTTCCGTGTATTATTATAGCTTTCGCTTTAATCGAGCATGAACAATTCTTTATTGTTAAATAATCTCATTTTAATCAAATTTTTTATTTTTAATAAAAATTTAAACAATTAAAAATTTAAGCTATATAATTTTTTTCCAGATTTTTGTAGATGTTTACGCAAATACTATTATTTGAATCTTGAAGTTATTAGAACGAGAAAACGCGCTTGAATAATTAGCGCTCGCGTTAACAAATTTCGACATTGCCACGAATTGTAGCACTTACGTTATAATCGATTCTGATCATTATATAATCGATTTAATCCATTACTATACAAAATATTAAGAAATGCGCTTGGAGATATTATAATACTCATCAAATTAAATTTAAAAAATTAATTTAAATCGAAAAATTATAACAGAAATTAAGAAAATTATTTTTAGTTTACTAAAATCACCAAAAATTACTCAATGTTAGCAATTATTATCATCAGGGTGCTCACAGGGATACCAATAAGGATAACAATAAGTTATCCCTATTGGTATCCCTAATAGGTATAGTCATTTAGTAATTTAGTCGTCATGACTAAAATTAGATTATTAATTTTAAAATCTCGTTTTAAAATATGTTAAAAAGTAACTAATTTGTAACAATTTTGACTTAAATTAATATTTATTTTCGTCGAGCATTTTCGTCTCTTGTCTGTATATTGTCGTGCTAGCCGCGTAATTCTCTTCAGCTCGACACGTTCGCGAAGCGTGACACGTGCGGTCGCGAAAACGTCACCCTGATAACCGCCAACGATAGAAAACGATAAAAAATTTCTTATCATTTTTTAATATGGTTAGTAAATTGTTTATTTACGATACTCTATCAGAAATTTACGTTACAAAATACTTGAGATCCTATTATAAATGTCTTATCAGCTGCACATCAGTTTCTATCATTTTTAATATGGTTAGTGAATCATTTATTTACGATATTCCATCAGAAACTCACGTTACAAAATACTTGGGATCCTATCGTAAATGTCTTATCAACGTACATTAGTTTTTATCGTTTTTAATATGGTTAATTAATCGTTTGAATCGGTGTTAATCAATCCATTTCAATCGTTATGAATCCGTGAATTAAGGAATCAGATTCATACCGATTCATTTCTTTCAATCGGTTTTTATCGTTTTCAAGAACGCCGGAAACGGGGCAACTAGCATCTCTGAGAAGTTGGCACCTCACTTTCAAAAATCGGAAGTTTTATCAACAGTTCCATTTGCACCCGCAATAGTTCTACAGTTCCTGATCTAGGTTTTAGAAATAGTTCTGTTGATTTAGTTAAAAAAATGAATTTTAAAAATATGAAGTGCTAACTTTCCGTAGCACTTCATGTTTCAAAAAAATTATTTCGTATATTCGTATTTCTCGTAGATGAGGTGCCAGCGGTCGAATTAAAAATTTATTTAAAAATAATTAAAGGCCGGAACTGTCGCTGACACCTATCAAGAACTGCAGAACTCTTCGAGAACTATAGAATTTCATGGTAAAAATCAATTTTTTTGAAACTTGAGGTGCTCGCGGTCAGATTAAAAATTTGTTTAAAAATACTTAACTTTTACTTGCCACACTTCTGTAGAATCACGTACTTGCCACATTGGGATGGAATCTACCCCAACGACAAAAATTGTTATAACAAATAAGCTATTCAATATTTTAACTCGCCAAATTTTTTATAGCCAAAAATTAAAATAGACTAACGGTCCCGGCGTAATGCTACTGGCTTGAGGAGATAATGGCATGCTCGAACTATTGACAGATGTCGCTATAGACCCGCTCCCCGTAGGTTTAGATACTTAAAATTAAGGGAATGGTTGAGAGGTTGATTTGCACCCCAGTGTGGCAAGTAAGGGTTAATGACCGAAACTATTGCTAAAACCTATCAGGAACTGTAGAACTCTTCCAGAACTATAAAATATCATGGTTAAAATTAATTTTTTCGAAACATGAAGTGCTACAGGAAGATTCATAACTATAAAATTTGTATAGTTATTTCCTTATTCGGATCTAAAACGATAGAAACCGATTCGATTCGATTAATGTTTTATCTGTCTTCTAAATATGGAACGTTAGAACCGATAAGATGCAATTAAAAATACAGATACCTATAGCCGTTTTAATCGTTTTCTATCGGAGATCATTACCAGGGCAGCCAATCAGGGCATCGCGCCGCGCCTTCCCTGAGTGGAATTTCGGAGCAAACAACCAGAATACTCTGTGCCTGAGCGAATACGTGCGAGCTCGAGAAATTATACTCGTTACAATTGATAAAAATCGAGCCGGACTTAAGAACGCAAATCAGATTGTGAATGCAACAGATCACATACACGCGTTGACTGTCAACCATCGGCGAATCGTTGGCCTGTGCAGGACTCGGCCAGGTGGACACTGGCGATCCGTTCTTCTCGCGCAAGTCCTATCAGTCAACTGTGTAACGAGTTCGGTAAAATAAACGGTACCACGGTGAATTTGGCAAAGACAATTTAAACGGAACTTTGTGATCGTCTTTATTTACCCTTCGAGTGTTCGCTTTTGTCTGTTATCCACAGACATCCTCGTGTTCTTCGCTTTCCATCTATTGCTGCGCTCTGCAATTTCTTGCTCCCGCCTGTTATCCCTCTCGCTTTCTCTGAGCGATTCCGGCACTCCGATCAGCGTGAAAATCAACATCCGCGCGCGAACAAAATATTTAAATAATGCATCGGCATAGTATGATTAAACGACTCGCTACTTATTTCCTTCGTTTCTAATAACGTTCGCGTTTTATTGATAGCATTGAATATATTATAAGTGCAACGTGCGAATATTGTACGCATTTTAACGTATATGTATGAACAACCTTCCTCTATATGTAAATTTCTTTTTTTTTTTTATCGAGTCAAGGCGAGACGGAATTCCGATAACTCCTTTTTTCCTTCCGCCAACAACACTATCGTAACGCATTTCCACGTACAAAAAAAAACAAACATCTCATATCTTAAGCCCCTTGCATAATAGGTGATAGCGATAGCGATAGCGACGGCGACAAGATTGCCGACACTTTAATGCTACAATATAATTCAGAAAAACAAACAAACTATCTTTCTTATCATAAATACGTTAATAACGCTTGTTCTGTAAATACCTTGCCATTATTGTCACTGTTTCTGTGGGAATTTTAACTATTTAATTAATATAAAATTATCCAATCCAATTGATTTTTAATTTTTAACAAGATCGGTAATTGATTACGCATAACGCAAACTGTTTTAATAAGTTTACGTGCAAACAAAATTTAACTCAGTCTTAAAATAACCAGAAATGTTAAAAGAGAAATATCAATATTGATTAATTAGCCGATTTCTGATGGGAGACGATGCTCAGGCCGCGGTACGCAGGGCATAGAATTACACCTAGTGATAAGACCTTCCTCCTCCTTTAGGACACTAAGACAAAGAAGTGGTGAGAAGCTCGCGCGGGGAGGTTCTCGCCACTTGAGTATAAATAGGCGCGAAAAATCATAGTTACAATAGTTGAGTTAATTTTTTGTGCTCATAAGCTAATCTACCGACAGTCTAATATATACACTAATACACTTTAACTTCAACAAATCTTTAAAACAAGATCTTAACTACAATTGTAAATAAGAATTAAAATCATATCAATAAATCAGATTTTAAACAACACTTGTAAACGTATTCTCCCTGAATAGGGGTAATTTTAATTTTAATTCTGAAAACTAATTTTACTGTAATTTCCTTTAATTTCATATCTCTTAACTGTCGCTGCCAAAGAGCGTGGCAACAGTAATTTCCTGATATTCTTGTCCTTGCCAAAAAGTGTGGCAACAGAAAATTTCCTTCCTTTACCTGTCGCTGCCAAAGACTGTGGCAATAGGATTTCTTTTCATCCTCATTCATGCCCAGAAAAAGGGGCAAAAGGTTCCAAGTCAAAAAAATTAAATATCAGATTAAACAAATTATACAACTAAATCAAGATCCTTTTCCATTTTTATTCAAATTAAAGAAATTAGAAACTGAAATTGGAGATAATAAAACTCAAACCTTTATTCCGTATAAATTGATCCCTTTGGATTTAATAGTAGATTTTCCAAATTTTAATTTAATGAACAAATTTGACCCTCGTTTTAAAACATACAAAATTCGATATCTTTTCGGACTGGATTAATCACTCAACCTGGTCCAAATCCCGGGTAAATAACTTAAATGTTTTGACCCAAAAACGGACAATAAATAAACTTAACTTTAACGAAACGTTACAATAATATAAAAATCAAATGGGTAATGTAACCCATTATCTCACAGCGATAATTGAAAGGAAAATTACTCTAAAGATTATTATAACTATTAAATTACCTACTGAAATAATTAAGAATAGCTTTTCAATTATACTGAATAAAGATAGAGTTATCAATTTTAACTAATTATTAGCAGTTGTTTCAAGATCATTATGATCGTTTATTGAGACAAATATCTCTGTTTGAATGTGCCACATCAGGTTATCTTAATGTTGACGATTATTTGAGAGAGAATTGATTTTGCGACTATGTGACTTGTCCAAAGAGCGCGCTGCCCTTTCTTTTTTTAGATTTCTCTCCATAGAAACCTCCTAGGAAATGATAACCAGTCTTACATAATATATAATAACTTATGCAACTGACTATGTATTATTTTCAAACACAAATATTTAGTACAATTGTTATATTGAGCATTTCAATAAGAAAATAATTTATCTCTAAAATAAATTAACGTGCACGGAAAAATGATATAATGCACACAACCAAAAAAATTTAGTAAGCAACCTAGCTGCATCCTAATTATTTTTGAGCGGTAATTATGTGTATGATTGATATCGACTTATTTAATTTAATTTACTAGTTGACACAATCAGATTTGTGTGTGACAACACCATACTGTTTTTTCCGTATGCGTATCAATATTTCTTTATACACTTCTTATCACAAATCTTATCACAAAATGTAAACTTTTGTTTTGCAGAATATAAAAAATTCATATAAAATAATCAATTAATCTCTATAAAACTATCAACTTCAAAAAACAAGATTTTACATTCGAAAGTATTAATATGTGTTTATAAATTTAATAATAAATACGTGCTTATTAATTTTTATTCTAAATTAAATTTTAGATCTTTGCTAACATTTGAAGCAAGAAGTTACAATTTCTACGAACATTGGAAAATGAGTACTTTGCAGCAGCCATCGATCTTAAGAGGTCAGCAGACAGGAAGAAATCAGAAAAAAGATTTAGTGCATGAATTATTCAGTCGTGCAGCAAAAGTCCATCCAAATCAAACCGCGTTATATTACGAAGGTAAGGGGTTTTACTTCTCGATATAAAATATAATAGAAGTCACATCGAGAAAGTGGTCTAGAATATGATTTTTGACAATTTAAATAACCAGTTGTATTAAATAATGCCTATGATAATGTGGACATTGTATGAAAGGAAATCTATACCTAAACATTATTGAAAACTCGATACAGATGACGCCGGCCAGGAATACGTGGTGTCTTTTAAAGAATTGGATAACATCACCAATCAGTTGGCACGAGCTTTACAAAAGTACGAAAAGACTGAAACAACTTCTCAGTCATTAATAGCTGTCTGCATGAACCCGTCGCATTGGTTTCTAACTGTATTACTTGGTGTACTGAAAGCAGGAATGGCTTATCTACCTTTGGACGCGGAATTTCCGATGTCTAGAGTAAAACACATTCTCGAAGAAGCACAACCATTAATAATGGTGGTCGAGAAAGGAGGTAAATGTCCTCTTTTACATCGTACAAGTGTTCCAAAATAAATATCATAAAAAATTTAATTTATCATTATTCGATTTCTACATTTAATTTAATTTAATTTTTTTATCTTATTTTTAGTTATTTACTTATTTAGTTATTTACCTTTCTCTTATTCCAGTTTTATCTATTATATGTAGTTTTACTGCTTTTATCTAGAAGATAATCAATTAAATGAAATGTGCCAATGTTTTACAATATTATGTTTGTTAATTTCTAAAGATTAAACTTTAATAATATTAAAGTATTATTTTATTTCTCGACTAACTGGCACAATGTAAAAAGAATGCACTACGTCTCGGCTCAAGGTTTGAGCCCTTCTCAAGTGCGGTATAAAATTCAGGAACAGCATTATGTAATACAATAAATAAAATAAAAATAAAACATGTATAATAATCGTTAAATTAGCGAGCAATACCTAATCGTCAAATTGACTCGTCATGTGATACTCAAAAGACATGCCTGTGTTCATGAGAATGTTCCAACATGGTCATAAAATACAGCTGTGGACAATTATTTATATAGCAATAATATGTGGAGAGAGAATGTAAAGATCAAGCAAAACTTACGTGTCTCATATGTCGAATTTCAAAAGTTTGCATGTTAAAGGTTCTCCGTTTTTTTATGATAGCATTTACCGACTAAAATTTTACATGACATATTTGTTACTATAAAAGTGATAAATTTGATAATTATATATGTAATTACCGGTTTTTGTGCATAATTTTCAAGATATGGATATGGCTTGATAAATTATTACAATTTTACCGGTAATTGTAACCAAAATTTTTTGGTAAAAGTAATAAATCTTTCATTAATTTTGTTCTGGGTAGAAAAGAGTGAATCTATTGTATTCACGCATATATACTTTTCCATTCACATAACAACTGAGTTGGGTTAGGTTTGTTTTTTTGGAGGTGGAGCCCCCCGCAGAGGGGCAGAACCTACTGCTTCCACGTATAATACACTTTCACGCGAGACGAGTTGCCACATGGGTTTACAAGTTTCTACGCGTGCTATATATATTATATATACTATATATATTATAATTTTTATATGTCGTATATATCATATAGAATTAATTTTATTAGTTGATAAGTGCTCATAAAATTTTTTTTAACTTCCCGAAGTTGAGACCACACATACTTTATTTCTCACATCTAAAAACTATATTTAAAATAGCAATTAATTTTTTTATAAATTGCATTTAATTGTGCTAAAATGGCTGTGCTAGCTTAATGCCGTCAAAACGATGCTATTAAACCTACGCGTTCGCCACTAATGAGCGTACAATATGTGATAAAGCAGGTAAAGGATTTAATAATTGTGAGATATCTACGTAATAATTCTTTCTTTCCACACTTATGTGATTTCTCGCGCAGTCTTCGTGTATATATAGATCTATATATTATGATGATTAGTTTTTACCGAAAGAATTAACAGCATTACTTTGCAAGCGAATGGAGAATTGTTTCAAAACAATTTGCAGAACGCGGATAGATTTTATTATTTCTTCAGTTTTATAAATATGGGCAAAAAAACCTTGAGATTTTTTATTCTTTCAGCTAAATATATGTGCAAAAAAA